CACACACACACACACACACACACACACACACACACACACACACACACACACAGACACACACCTGGACTAACATTAATGTCTGTTTAAAACCAATAAAAGATACTATAGAGATATTACATGGGAAAAATGTCTTGTTAATAATTAATCATTTTTGAAAACGTTTGACTAGATCCTTAGAGTTGAACCTCAATTCTCAAATGCCTTAAATGCTTGTCAAATTTTGAGTTGGATGAAAGTTTCAGGAAAACTTTGCTAATAAAATGCCTGAATGCGTCAGAGCATCTCACATAACCTCCTTTCAGCCAGCATCAAATGATGAACTCAACCTGTGTTTTTTGATGGATGTGATTACATCTTGCAATTATAATGAAAATGTCCATCCATCCATCCATTTTCTGATCCGCTTTATCCCCACCTTGAATCGGTTGTCAGCCAATCGCAGGACACACATAGAAGAACAACCATCCGTGTGCACACTCACACCTAGGGACAATTTAGAGCACACATGTCAAAGTCAAGGCCCGGGGACCAGATCCGGCCCCCCACATCATTTTATGTGGCCCACGGGAGCAAATCATGTATGTCAACTATCATGATTCTTGCTGAAATCTGTACCGAAATATCAAATTGTAATGGAGGGAAACCATAACTCCGAAGTAGCCCGCAACAAAAAATGAGTTTGGCACCCCTGATTAAGAGTGTTCTGTTAACCTGCCACGCATGTTTTTGGAATCTGGGAGGAAACCGGAGTACCCGGAGAAAACCCATGCAGGCACGGGGAGAACATGCAAACTCCACACAGGGAGGCTGGAGCCGGGATTGAACCCACGACCTCTGCACTGTGAGGTTGACGCGCCAACCACTGGACGACCGGGCCGCCACTTGCGTTACAGTGAAAAAAAAAAAAAAGATGCATGAGGTCATCAGTGACACGACACTTCTTACCCCTCCTCTTTCAAAGTGAGTGTTTAATTGTTTTTAGACTGATTAAGTCTGGCTTATATGTTAAAAGGTAATGCAATGTTTTATGATAAGGAGAGCCAGCACTCTGGAACAAGTTATTAGAAACATAATTGATCGCAGGAAGTTATTTATTGAAAATGGACCAAATCTTAAGTCCACCAGGAACAAATAAAACTTTTGAGGTTCTGTATTCCTGTCACTGTATATGATGTACTACTCAAAAATCTTAATTAAAGAAATTTTGTTTGGGGAAGGCCTTGGGATGAGTTTGGTGCAAAACCTGTGGTCAGGTGGCACAAAGACAACACAGAAAGCAGTGGGACAAAGGAGAAGGAGAGCGCAGAAGACAATGAGAGCATGTAAAAAGGAAGGAACAGGAATTGAGAGTGGAAATTGCTGGGGAGAAACTAAGTGAGCTTCTTCAACGTGAAGGTTTAGACCAGGAAGCTGCCATATTCCAGGAGATACAGTACAATGGCTTACAGGAAATCTGTTTAACCTGTATTGTGGTACTGCGAAGATAGGTGTGTGAGCCCGCGCACACTTGCACCAAAAATGACCCAAGGATGACAACTGTGATCCCGTCTTGAACTATTCCAACTATGCCATTCATTGTTGTCTCTCTCTCTCACACACACACACACACACACACACGCACGCACGCACGCACGCACGCACACACACACACACACACACACACACACACACGCACGCACGCACGCACGCACGCACACACACACACACACACACACACACACACACGCACGCACGCACGCACGCACGCACACACACACACACACACACACACACACACACGCACGCACGCACGCACGCACGCACACACACACACACACACACACACACACACACGCACGCACGCACGCACGCACGCACACACACACACACACACACACACACACACACGTAGTGCACACGTGGATACGGGGCGATTACAGAAAAAGGAGTCAAGCTCTGCGATATAATTCCAGTGTTTGCCGTAAAGCTGGCCTTAGGGTTTGCAAGGAAGCACTTGAGAACTGGAGCATGTTCCAACACTTTCAGTCTAATTTACAATTGCAATAATTTTAAATCAGGAGCCACTTCGAGCTGCCTTCTCAAAACACATTACTCAAGAAGCTGCAATGTGTAAAAATAGATGATTACATGTACATACCGTCATGAAATGAGGCAACAAGAACGAATCACCTCTTAAGTGTATTTGAAATTAGTGATAAACGACTTGGCGTGAGCTCTGTCCGCATGAAGTTGCTGAGTGTGTTGCCTGCTCACGAATGAACTACTATTTGGACTGAGTCAAGTGTCTTGAATTCAGATTGCCTTTGTGCAACTTTTGCAAAAATGCAAATGGTGTTTATCATGAACTCTTATGACGCACAGGGCCTGTAAACAGAGACCATATGCTTATGCTATTTCTTTAAACGAGCCAATCAAACAGTGCAGCATGTGGAGAAAGCATATACCTTTGGGGCTCACCATGTTGAGTAAGATGATGGACTGAAAGCAACAATTTTTCCCCAAATCTGATACTATTTGACATGCAGGCATGGAGAAAAATGCAAACTCCACACAAGAAGGCCAGAGACCGGTTTTGAACCCACAACCTCTGAGCTGTGAGGCAAATCCACTAACCATTCATCCACAGTGTTGTTTAAATATTGTTTTAACCTAAATATATCTTGTGTGACGTCAAAGATATTTGATTGTCAACATTAAAAACATCCTGGAAATGAATATCTGCACTGGTTATCTGATAAAAGTTCGGGGGGGTTAAAAACACACAAACACACCAGGCAATTCAAAGCATGCCAAACTTGGGAGAGATCATTCTGTTTATTTTACCTGTGCACTGTTGGGATGGCAAAAAATTGTCAGTTTATTTCCAATTTGAAATGGATAATGTTACCGTTTTGGAGTGTATTTATTTATCCTGTA